TCTTACCCAATCTCTCCCAGCTTTCTCTGTCCACTGTTAGTTGAGCTTGACCACAATTGATTCACAGATAAATTGCTTCAGAGAAGACAAAAACAGTTTTCTGCAGTATGCATCCATTGGAATATTTTGCACAACACTAGCCAGCTTTCCTTTCTAATTTTGCACTGCCTGACCTTTTATTGAAAGTAAGCACTAAGAATTGGTCTTCGATTTGCAATACATTCGAATTCTTATTCTCACATGAACATTCATACATGCATACATATGTAAGTATATGGGGCGTTCCATACCAAAATGGACGGCGATGGATGAAAAAATTTGTATGTGAAAAATTTTTCAAGAATAAAAAATTAAAAAAAAAATATTTCTTTTCATAGAGAATTTTGATGTGTGTATATGTGATTTTGTTTAATTTTTTTCTCGCCCCGTTCTCGAGATATTTGGAAAACTATTAAATCGATTTGTTTTTGTTTTTGTAATGTAAAGTATTTAAAAATGTATTAATCAAGCTCAGATTTCATATTTATATATTATTTATGTTTATCCATCAACCCTAAAGTGTGAACCCCGTCCATTTTGGGATGGAATGCCCCATATATGTATGTACATGTGTACATGTGTGCATGTATGTACTGATAAACGACTTTTCGTTCTTAATTTGCTAATTACTTCGACCGCGTCAAGTGCATTGATCTTATTTATTTTCGCGTTTTGGTTTTTGTTTAATTTTTTCTGGCTTTCATTGTTATCGTTGTTTGTTATGTTAACGTGCTGCTGCTTTCGGTGCTATATTGCAAGTACCATTCGAGCATTCTATGGATTTTGCACTTGTTACACTTTTCTGTGATTTTTTTGATTTTATTGTTATTTTAGGTGCATTTTTTATTGTACGTTGTTTTTTGCTGCTGTTTACGAGTTTGCTAAAAATTAAACTGAATTGAATTTGATCTCTCATTATTTTATGGACTTTTGTATTGATCTTAAGCTCGCTTTAATTTGCATTGCTCCATTGCGCACTTCTGTGGTTATTTTTATTGCTAATAAATTTGTACTTTAATTTTGTGGTTGCCAATGTGGTAAATTTTTGTAAATAAATATGTGAGTACATACATACATACATTATCGCCGAAAGGCAAAAAAGCTACAAGTAACAACGATTTTTTGTTTTATAAACGATGCGGGTACTTATAATTCGATGGAGTGCACTTAATCAATCAAAAAGTGAATTTTGGATTTTAAGTTAGTTACGGCTTTTTGTATTTCAGCGACGATGTGTGATACGCCCTTTCCATACTATACTAACGATATAATGATGCTAATGAGTGCCAGCGTATTTAGATTGTTTTCACTTATTTGTTTTTACAAAAATATCCGTTTTGAAAGATTGTACGTACAAAAATATACATATGTAAATCGCAGCAAAAACACGATTACCACAGAAATTAAAATGGAATCGAATTAGGCGATGGGAATCGCTTACCCTTTCGCTTCAAGAAGGCATTATTTTACCATGGGCATGTCATTGGCCGTAAGCCTAGGGCTGCCAGACGTGCCGGTTGTCCCGGACATGTCCCGGTCCAACCTTAAAATGTCCCGGTTTTCGATTTTATTGCACAAATTTTGAATAAAAATGACTAAACTGAGAGAAAAAACGCGTTGTAATATTAAGAAAAATTTTATAAATTTACTGGGGGAAATAACGCAAAGTAAACATGAATATTTTTTATTTGATTATCGTTTTAAAAATTTTCGTATTTAAAAACAATACTTTCATACCACTCACACGTGGTGTTGAATCAAACTGAACATTTGAATGCACATTTACATGTCTGGCTGTAGCACATGTCTGGAGTGCACGAAGATCCTTGCCACAAATTGCTAATTTCCAGAGCGTCAGGGTTCAAATCCCATTACAGGCAGCATGAATTTAAATTTTATTTTTTTTTAACTTAATTATGAAAAAGCATCCGTTAAGTGCAAAGCGCTTCATTTTAATATTGGCGTATTTGAATTGAATATTTCTATACTAAATACTAAAATTTGTATACATACTTAAATTTATTACGAGTTGGGTTGGTGCTCTTTCATATGCAATTTTTTTTTTAATTTAGCACGTTTTGCACAAGCAATAGTTGATGATTAATATAAGTATGTACCTAAATACTTTAAAATGACATGCACAGAGTTTTACAATTGTATTAAGCAAAAGCCAGAAGTTTTTAAACAAGTTCACAGCAACGAAACAAATTACTGATAATGTTACCTTGTATTTTTTTTTTTCTTTGATTACTTATAAGTACCGTGCCGTACAAAATTATTGATTCGGGGACTCTTTCATCTGATCACAAATTTTGAAAATGTAGATTTTTAGCCAATTAGTAAAGTGAAAGTATGAAGTTACCAGAAAATTTCGTTGATTTTTTGCAATTATTTATTTTTCCTGACCGTGTCTTCCACATACAAAAAAATGTGGAACATAGTTTGTATGGAAGAAACTCTCAGTAAAAATAATACCAAAAATCAACTAAATTTTTATGGGCTGCAAAACTGTAAATTTCGTTTCAAAACTTTTATAAAAAAGTCTAAAGAGAAATGTTCCGAATTTGTATGCAAATTTATTGCATTTTCCCGAGTTTTCCACAAAGTTTAGAAATTCTTTTTTTATATTTTCTGATGTATTTAGTATAAACTGTATTTTTTAAGGAACAAAAAAGGTACATGCATTGTGAAAAATTCTCTGTGCTTTAGTTGTGATAAATTGTTTCGTTTTGCTAGTGTACGTTGTAATGATCTCATGATCGCATGTTTTTATGTTTTTGTTTTTGTTTGTCAAAATTAAATTTTACACTCCTTTCGTACGTAATTTTTGTCGAAATGAAAGGGAAGGAGCGAGAGGCCTCTCCCTTATTCCTGATAATATCAACGTTTCAGACGTTCCATATTTAAATTGGGCTCCACTTGTATCAACTTACGTCGAGTGCACTTTAGTACATTCAAGGCTTTTCTTCGCGAAAATCTAATGAAAATGCTGCCAGAAAACTTCAAAATGCATCTTGTGGTTCATATGTTACTACAACTATAGCGATTAAAGTTTTGTTGAGTTAAGAAACTCGAAAGGATAAAATAGTCAAAGATTCAAAGTAACAAATTTTTCATTAATGAAACTAGTTCATAGTTTTTCTCTTTTACTTGTAATATAAAAATTTCTAAAATAAATGTATTTTTTGATTGTTCTTTGTATTTTCGGTATTTTTAGTGCCTTATTTTGGTTTTTTTTTGCAATACCTAGTGCCTTTTCCTGCCTTTTTCGCTATTTTATTTTGCCTTTTTTATAGGTTTTTAGGTCCTAAAAATCTGTTGCCTGCTTATGAATATTAAATTGAAAACATAAAATACAGATTGTCTTAAAAGAATAATATTAATTAAAATTTGTACAATACAAAAATTGCAAAATTTTATAGTTTTTATACAAAGTTTAAAATCTGAATTTATATGGTGTTTGTTGTATAGCCAGCTAGGCTTTTATAAAAAAATAATAAACATTAAATAAACAAAAGACAAATAGCCAAAACTGGTCAAAATATCGCACTCCTATTATTTTGTGGACAACTGTATATATTTATTATTTCTGCAATGTCATTTTGTACAATTGTCATGTCCAGGGAACGCATTTTTAGGATAAAAAAGACAAAATAAAATAACGAAATAAGCAGCAAAAGGCACCAGAAATCGCAAAAAAGGCAAAAGAAGGCACTAAAAAAGGCAAAAACTGAAAAATAATCAAAAAATACATTTTGTTTAGAAATGTTTATTTTACAAGTATAAAGAGGAAAACTATGAACTAATTTCATTATTTAAAATATTTCTACTTTGAATCTTTGACTGCTTTCGAGTTTTTAACTCACAAAACTTTAATCACTATAGTTGTAGTAACATTGAACCACAAGATGCATTTTGAAGTTTTCTGGCAGCATTTTCATTAGATTTTCGCGAAGAAAAGCCTTGAATGTACTAAACGTGCACTCGACGTGAGTTGATACAGGTGGCGCCCATGGAACGTTTAAAACTTTCATATTATCAGGAATAAGGGCCTATTCCTTGCCCTTTACAATTAAAGGGAGAAAATGCAAAAAAAACCAAATATCTTAAAAAAGGCAAAAACGAGGCAACATCGACTGTGTATATGCATATGGAGTCAGGGAAAGCTAAATCGTGGACATTCTTAATCGAATATACTCTATCTCTTTTGCAGAACACAGGGCAATTTCCATAAAATCCGTTCCCTAGTCATGTCCATTCATCCAAGGCCACGTTATTTCGGCTAGCCTTGGGTGAAGAAAACTTCGTAGAAAGTTTCTTTGTTTATAAAGTTGCATACAAATGATGTATTGTGGTTTACTAATTATAGAGTCCGAGGTACAGAAATCATGGGACTCGCTAAAAAATCGTCCACCATATAAAAGCCATCTGAAGGTTCTAAATTTGCTGATGGGAGATGGTCAGATGTTCATTCATAGTTAAGATAATGGATGTGCTGATTAGTAGTCCTATTTTGCATCAAAAGATTAATTTCAATGTTCCATTTTGACATTTTAAGCTACCAGTGATGGACTTTGAAAATTTAAAATTGTGCCGAATTCAGGAATAAATAACGCACTTGAAAATTGTGACAAAATATTCCGTAAATTTGCCCCACACCAGAGATCAAAAGTAAAGTTTTTGTTATTAGAATCTTTGTTAACACTTTCTATCTTATGCTGAATTTGTACTAGGCACTAAATGGCAAAAATTGTATTGACAAAGTTGGGCATTAAAAAATGTTCTTATTTTCGATATTCTTCAGTTCTGGGGGTTGACAGCAGGAAAATTCCAAAAAGTTGATTTTGCTGTGTATTTTTGGAAAACCCTACAAAGTTACGTAACAGTTTTCCAATAAAACTATTTCAGGTTTAACAAAACAAACTAATATTTTATATGTAAATTTTTTATTTTCATTTCAGTTTTGAATCATTGAATACCAAACCTTGGATTCCAACGTTTTTCATATCAATATGCTCAACGGCATTGAAGCTGTCATCATAACAAAATGAAAAAAATTACTTATTCAAAAACTAATATTTCAACCACCATGGGTCATTTTAATCCGAATGAAACGGATAAAGATTAAGAAAAAATCCTTAAGAAAAGAAGGTTGGTTGGGGGGAAAAAATAAATAAAGAAAATAAAAATGAGCGCTGACGGCCTCACTTGCGATTGCACAGTAATGCAGCGATTACAACACCAATGTCAAAATGGACAAAAGCAAAGCCAGCTACGACCAAAGCGATCGCAGTGGCGCGCAACGGAAGTGAGCACCGTGACCACTAACAAAAATAAGAGCAAAACAAAGAGCAGCAGAAACAGCAGTAGTAGCGACACGAGCTGCAGCAACATTAATTGGCACGCGAAAATTGCAAAGCAATGGCAAAGGAGCAAAAAGTCAATGACTGTGCAAATGGAACATGAAAATAACAGTACTCGCACTAATTATTACAATTTCAATAATATCAATCGATTACTAATTGCCACTGTCGTACTGTTGATAACACTGGCAGCAACAACAACAACAACCACTACTACAACTGCTACAATTATGATAACAGCTGTGTCAACAAAGACTGCAACAGCAACATTAAACGGCCTATTGACAACTGCTGTACCAGCGGTAGCGCTCTCTTTCGCATTCGCGCCCATCTCACTAATTGGTCATATGACTTTGGCGACAGCAGCAGCAGTGCCCATCTCGTCGCCTCTATCCTCGTTACAACAGGAACGTCAATTCCAACAACAACAATTGTTTGCGATGCTGACGAAAAATCGTCAAGGTAACGCTGCCGAAGTGATTGCTGCTGATGGTGGCACGGACGTGGGCGGTGCCGTAGAAGGAGTGGCAGCCTCAGCGATGGCTGCTGGATTTGTTCCAAAGCATTTATTAGACTTGGATGCGGCCGCTCCAGTGGCGGCAGATGCAGATGCAGATACTTCATTGGAGACAGCTGGTTTTGTGGCCGATGATGGTCAGCGGTATGAAAAGGCGGTGAAAGCGTTAGCTGCCGCCGTTAATAGCAAAGCCGGTGGAAATAGTAACGATAGCAATGGCAGCGGTGGCGGCGGCCGACTGTTTGGTGTGGGCACATCAACGGATTGTCCAAAGGAATGCAAATGCTTGGATGCGTACTTCGATTGTGGTGATAAACTTTTGGATCGTGTCCCCATATTGCCCGGCTACGTGCAAACGCTGTAAGTGCAAAACTATTTACATACTTACATATGTATATGTATTAATTTTTAATTGGAATTATACATTCAGTCAATAAAGGTTAGGTACAGCGAATTTTTCACAATACGGGCAACTATTTTTTAAATATTTTATTTTTCGCTAATTTTTTATAAAAATATGGTTAATTCTACAACAAAAACCCCAAAAAACAGAGTTCCAAAATAATTCCAAGAAAATTCTGCAAATTTTCATCGAAATATTGCACTTTTTATTTACACTCTTTAGAAAAAAGTTGAGTACGCAGTTTTTTAGAATACCTTCAGCTTTCAGCTCCATATCAAAAAAGTTCTGACAAGTAAATATTTTTGATCAAAATCTCCGCGATTCACTTAAAATAATGCGTAGTTTTAGAAATAATAAGCACTTATGCGTTAAAAAATTTTTATTTTTTCTTTTTCCAGTTAGAGTGGCTGTTTGTTAGTAATTAGACAAGATATGATGTCAAAATGACACATCAATATTTTTTTCGAATGACCTACTACGGTACCACTGTGCGCTGGTGAGAATTGCTTTCTTCCGTCTAGTGCCCCCTTGTCGAGCTGCCAGACACAAAGGTAACGCTCGATCTAAGCAGTCAATGTCTAGTGATTCTGAACAGCTTCCGTCTAATAAACTGTCGAATTACTACTTAGAATTCCCATACAGTCCCTAATATAAAATGTAAGACTTGACCTTTTCATAGAGCCTTTCTAAGAATTCTTGGCAGCAACAGCTGGGCACTGCTAAAAAATATCTTAGTTAGGGAAATCTAGCCAGGCTCTAGGCGGAATCAGGGCTTTGGCTAGAGAATTTCCGGCCGGGATGTTACTCCAACTTATGCAGTCAATCATTTAATAGCCTTCCATCTGCTTCAGCTAATTATGCCAAATATTTAATGCCTCAAAATGCAGTTTAAGTAGATGTGCTGCCCAAATGGATAAATACGAGAAAGGCCATGTACGAAAAATCAAAGTAAAAATATTGCGGATGTAAACAACAATTTTGCGTATAAACAACGGGCAATTGTATTTTGCTAATTACTATAATGAATAGTTATTTTTACGATTTATTTAATTTATATGAGTAACCATGACATACACAATAATAATATTCAAATATTCTAAATTTATAAACATTTGTTTCTTTGCAGCGATCTGGTTGGTAATAAACTGAATAATACAAGTGTGCTGCAGATAATGAATCTAACGGAATTAATAAAACTGTAAGCACATAAGCAATAGAACTAAAACTCTTCTAAGCATGATACTATTGTATGATAAATGACTTTGCTTAGAAAGCCTTAAAACGAATGCAATAGCAGCACATACATACATACATGCATATGTAGCAACTATACAATAGTCACGTATTTGACTTTATTAAATTAATTTCTTTCATGAATCGTACAATGTATCTTGTGTTAGGATTAATGCAATTATTCTATCTATTTGCTTCCTTTCTCCGTCCATACCTCTTCGCCATCTCTTTTTATGCCACTAATTCAAGATCACTTTGCTGATGTTTTTTCTTCTTCTCTTACAGCACGCTAAAACGCAACCAACTGGAAAGTGTTCCCGTATTCAGTGAGCTCAGCGCTTTAAAGCAGCTCAATTTAGCTAATAATCGTATACAACGTATTAGTAGCGCGGCATTGGAAGCCTTACCGAAGCTGAAATCGTTAGATTTGTCCAGAAATTTTTTACACGCTATAGAGTCCAGTTATTTTCCGCCAAACAACCGTTTGGCGCATCTGTAAGTGCCAATTGATTTATCTACATTGCATTTTAACGCTCTATTACATTTGCGTGCTTTATTATTTACATACATGCATACTTTATACATATGTAGATATTATACATAGTACATATATTGGCATACTCTTCGAAAGCATAGTTAGTTATTGTACACTTGATTCGATATACAAAGACGACAAAATTAATACATATTTTACCAGAAACCAGAGTACACTTTTCCAAAGGTCTTCGACGCACAGCCTAAGATGTGGCACATCTTGTTGCCTTTAATTCTGTAATTCGAAAACTTTTTATTGAAGATAGATTATTGCAATTTTGCTCTAGATGCGCATATAACGGCAATTTTCTAAAATGGAAAAGCCGAGGTATTTCATTAACTACAAAAGCTAAAATATGATTTATAATCGCCTTATAGCAAAGAGTTATATACCTATAAAGTTTTTGGTAATGGGCGCAGTTCCGCTTATTTATGGTTGTTTTTTTTTTCATGGCTGAATCCAAATCCAAATCATAACTTCTCTGGTGATTCAGGTTTCTAAAAGTGCAAATAACACGGAAACAGCAGGTTTGTCTAGCGCTATCTCCTAGCGCTGCGGATTTCCACTAACCGGCCGTTCGCTTTGTATTTTGTGATGAGCAGGGTCTCCTTTTCGGCTCGCCTACTGGTGTTGGCTAGAGACTTGAGGACTTTGTGTTCTTAGCTTGTATTTTGTTACTGGTTCCTGAAGAGTAAGCTAAAAAGTACAAGAGAGAGACTACCAGCACTTTAGGATGGGTGACTATCGGTATTTTGGCGCCATCGTTGTACATAGTTCAAGCCTGATATCTTTAATCCACGGAGTGAAAATTGTGGCTGTAGATTTCTCGGATTAGAAAAGATACAGGAGATAGTCAGTGATTTTGCCTCAAAGGCTGTTGAAGTTCGGGCGTGTTATCTTGATCGTGCAATCATCAGCGTAGCTGACCAAGTTATCTCCAGCTGGCGGCGGAGGGAGTTTTGCCATGTAGAAATAAAACAGTGTCGGGAGAGTATGTGGTATTGATTGATCCCCTGTTTAATTCTTCGTGGCAATGAAAGGGTGGTTGGCGTTACGGAAATCAACTGATGATTGACGTCCACGCAGATAGCTGGTTATCCATCACTTCTTTCTAACTGGAAGGGACGAGTTCATGATGTCTTGGCGCTAAGAAAATTCCATCGCTTGTCTGTGTAATGCTGACTTTATGCTGTGGGTGGTGTTCTGCATATTCCGGAATCCTTGCTGGTGTTCTGCTACTTTAAAGTGCTTTGTTTTTTTGGCACTAGCGATGGGTTTTCCCCACATGTTTGGACTTCTGCAACCGAAACCATCATACATATTAACATCGTCTATTCGTTCTGCACCTCCGTGATAAGTTCGAGTTGTCTAGTATTATTAAATTCATCCTTGATTCGAATTGTGATAACTCCACACTGAAGTGGACGAGCCTCCGGATAACCGCAGACTGTGGCAAAGAGGCATGCATGCAGCGGGACAGTGGCAGAGATAATGTTCAATGCTCTCCACTTCTTCCTTGTCTCTGCAACTGCGACACAAATCGTAGGTGGGGTGTCCTAACCCTTTTCAGTGCGTGCTCATCAGGTAGTGTCCGATGATTACTCCGACTACTAATCTGAAAGAAGAGCGGTGCAGCCAAGTGAGAGCTAGGGATCGCGTTACATCAATGTTTGTAGTATGGCAGGTGGTTTCTAGAGCCCACCTGGTATTTACATCTTCGATGAGTTCGGCCTTTAGTCCGTGTTTGCAGGAGGTTAGAGGTATCCCCGTATTTTGAGCAGAATTGACTTCAGATATTTCCGTCCCTCTCCTTGCCAGCTCGTCCGCTATGCAGCTTTCAGGAATGTCCCTGGCTCCAGGGACCCATACGACAGCCGAGGAGCATTTTGATGCCAGCAGGTTGAGAAACTTTCTGCATTCTATGGCTGCTTTGGACGTTATTCCTTTAGATTTTAGGGATTTGAAAGCAACCTGGCTGTCAGAGTAAATAGCGAAATGCTATACTGAAGTGCCGGAGGTTATGAGCCACCGAGCGGCCTCCATTTTGGCGTTTAGCTCTGCTTGAAAAACGCTACAATGGTCCGGTAGGCGAGAACTGAGGTTTAGTGCGAGCTCACCAAAGTAAATCTCGCTACCCACTGTATCGTTGAGCTTGGAAACATCTGTATATACAGCCGTCGACCCTGGATTTAAGTCTATGGCACCTTCCCATTCGTTCCTCTCTGGGTCTCGTATGAAGAATTCGCTGTCTAAAAAGAGTAGAGAAGTGGTATAATCTAGCTCTCGTAGATTATTCCGTAGAGTTTCAAAGACTTTTGCTTGCCCAAGTCTGAGGTTTCTTCTCGGCTGGATCGTATTTAACCTCGCAGACGGCCTGAAATTTGCCGTAGAGATCCACAGGTGGAAGATTTAAGATTATTTCCAGAGATTTGGTGTGTTTCTATTTTCATCTGACACACAGATAGAATCATCTGAGTTTAGTTTATTTCGTTTTCAAAGAACGTATTTTTAAATAGTTAAATAAAGACTGTGGATTTGAAATACATACGCAATTACATATGTATTGAAAAAGTCACATTTACAGATGCAAATACATGTCGTGTAAGAACACCTTTACAATTATTATTTTATTATTGTTTTGTGTATCATATACATACATATTTACATAATTTTGAATTTCTTTTACAGCATACTCAACTCAAATGAAATTGGTACTATTGATGAAGACGCCTTTCAGCACTTAGGCGATTTATTGGACTTGGAATTGAACAACAATCGCCTAATGACATTGCCGGCAGGGGTTTTTCGTACTTTACACAAATTGCGGAAACTGTACGTAAACTTAAAATGGGAACTACCATTTCAAATCTAATTCCTACTTTTACGGTTTTACAATTTTTTTCTGATTTCTATACCCTCACAGCTCGTTAAATAACAATCAGCTTGAAATCAATTGGTCAACATTTCGCGGTTTGCCATCAATTCAAAAGCTCTTTCTCAAATCCAATAACATACGCGCTCTGCAAGATGGCGTTTTCTATGTAATGCACGCCATCGAAACGATTGAATTGGACCATAATGGCATCACATCGCTTAGCCGTCAGGGGCTCTTCAATCTCACAAAATTGCATCACTTGAGCTTATCAAATAATTCCATCTCGCGCATTGAGCCAGACACTTGGGAATTCACGCAGTCACTAATTTCGCTCGATTTGTCACACAACAACATCAGCGAATTCAAGCCGCAGCACTTGGATTGTCTTAAACGTTTGCGACACCTGAATTTGGGTCACAACAAAATCCAATATCTGGCAGAGAACACATTTGATTGTGTGAAAAATTTAGAGGATTTGAATTTGCGTCGCAACAAACTCGCCTGGATCATTGAGGATCAGGGCGCTACGCCTGCGTTTAAAGCATTACGCAAGCTAAAAAAGTTGGACTTGTATGGCAATAACTTGAAGCAGATCATGAGCAAATCGCTTAGCGGCCTCGGAAATTTAGAGTCCCTCAACTTGGGTGGCAATGCATTGGCCACCATACAGTCGGGCGCCTTCGACCACATGCCACATCTGCAGAAGTTAAGCTTTAAATCTTTGAATTTTATCTGCGACTGTGAGTTACTCTGGTTCCAACGTTGGCTGCGTCACAATGAACAATCGACCATCGGCACGCAAGTGCAAACGGAAAATGCGGTGTGCGGCTATCCGGAGGCGTTGTTCGATCGTCATCTTCTGACGTTGAACGCCAACGAGTTGGAGTGTGGTAAGTGTGGGGCCTAAAATATTTATTGCCATTTGAATTTATCGGTAAAAACAAAATTCTTTTTTCCACTTTTAGCCAACTCACCCAAACCCACCATCGTACAAGAGCCATCTACTCAGCTCACTGTGAAGGGTGCGAATATCACAATGGAATGCATTGGAATTTCACCAACGGCAGCATCGTTGGCTGCCGCCGACGAGCTAAAGATTAAGTGGCGTCACGATAATCAAAATATACGCGAACGCGAGCGTGGCCACTTTTTCACACCGCATCACAGTGGCGCTGTAGCAAGCGGAGACAGTTACAGCACTACGGAAACCCGAATACGTCAAGATCACGCTACCAATCAGACTACCATAATTGGTTATTTGCGACTGTACAACGTCAGCTATGCGAATGCGGGACGCTATCAGTGTGTTATATCCAACGCCTTCGGCACGACGTATTCACAGAAATTTAAAATTTCAATTGGAAGTAAGTAGAATTAGAATATAGAAACTTTATCGATTACAATAACAACGTTAACATGATATCAATAAGAATGACAATAACGTCTATAAAAATTAACCACGACAAAAACATTGTTTTTATCATGAAATTGACTATATTAGAAATTTTAAGAACAAATAGTATAACTCGATTTTTTTAAGTGCTTGTCTTTCGGAAAATCTCATTCGATTCTTATTTTGGACATTTTAATTCCTACAGGTTCAGGAAAACTAAACACAGAGCTATTATTCTCCAAAACACTGATAATATAAAAAAAATATTATTGGTATCAACGCCTTTCTGATTTTAAACTTTCCATAACTCTAGTAAATTTTGATAGCTCCATAAATTTCGATATCTATCGACAAAGTTTGATATCTCTATACGGTGAAATTCGATAAATAATGATAACTCGATAAACTGATATGACCCTAGAAATTTCGATACCTTGAGATACTTTGAAAATTTCAAAAACATCGATGGGTTGAAAGAACTCGATATATTACGATAACTCGATAAATGTCGCAATCTTATTCGTTTCGAAATCGGTCCAGTAGTAATATAGAAACACCCCAAAATAATCTACTTATTATTTCGTTTTCAGTACATCCAACCTTCCTGCAAATACCCTCAAACTTAACCATTGATTCAGGCGACACAGCGCGTTTAGTTTGTTCGGCCACTGGTGACCCAGTTCCGGAGATAGCCTTGCAAAAGTCCGGCGGAAGCGATTTTCCCGCCGCAACAGAGCGGCGACTTCAAGTCATACGCGAGGAGAATGCCTTTATAATTACCAATGCGAAGCCAATTGACACTGGCATTTACACATGCACAGCTGAAAGTGCGGCGGGTGAAATAAAAGTCAATGCCACATTGGTGGTAAATGGTAAGTTCAGGCGAAAAGAGTCACTCAAATCCTAAGCATTAATTTAATTTCCGCTTCCTCTCTTCCCAACAGACAAGCCTCAACCTAACATACCGGTTGTCAGAAAGGAAACTGTGGTGGGTGAATCGAGCGTATTGCAGTGTCTAAGTGACTTGGCTGCCGATATGAGTCAGCCGCATCGCGAGTGGTTCAAAGACAACAAGCCATTCCATTTAGGAACGCTCAGCGCCGATGCGGAGCGTTACTTCTTCACTTCCGATCATGAAATTTTGGTTATTGTGAACACAGAATCGGCTGATTCGGGCCATTATCGCTGCGAGATAAGCGACAATTCCAAAACGTATACAGTACAAACTGAGCTGATTGTTGTAAAGGAGGAACTGAGTCAGAATATGATATTTTTTGGTGTTGTCATCGTGGCCGCGCTCTGCGTACTCATTATAGCGCTAGTGGCGTTTGCGCTGATTCTGTACCAGCGACGCAAGGCGCTCAAACGACGTCGTGAAACGAGTCACAATGCCAACAGTATCAGCGGTGCACCCAGTGGTCTGCTTTCCGGCAGTGCGGGTCTAATTGGTGGTGGTGCACGCGTTGCTTCGACCAGCTCGCAACTTCTCAATGGCAGTCGCGGCAGCGCCCTGGATCAAACCCAACTCACCACCCTGAATCGCACGCTACTGCAAAAGATACCAAAAGACGCACAGCGAAAAAGACCACACAGTGTAGGGGATTTCGAAGCGAATGCCGCCAATTGTGAAAGTGCTGAAGGGGGCTTGCAGAATGCTGGTGATGAATACGACGCTGACAGACATCCGCAACACTTGATAATTACTCCGACACCCAACTACCAACAGCTGTTGCAACAGCATGTGGACAACGATGCTCAAGCAGATATAGAGCACTTCACATTGACGTATTTGAAACGCATTTCATTGCCGGACAGCGCAGGCGTTACTGGTGACCACGCACAGGACCACTTATCCAGCAAAGATTCCGGCACAGGCTCAGATACGGCGGTAAAACGAAGCATTGATGATTTCACAATGTCAGCGCTGCTGCCAACACCAACTGCTGGCGAAATGCAACAGTCGGGTGATAGCGCCACAACGCCGGTCAACGAGTCTACACCACAGGCGACGCGTCGTTACAATGGTGGTTACCGCCTCGCCGGTATAGAAAACTCTTATCCCACGGACGATGGCGGTGATATGGACGATGCGGATTTACTATATGCTGCAACGCATGCGCTAGGCGTATCTGAATGCGACGTAGAATTGCTAGATTTCGACCGACATAGAGCAGCTACTATGAGAGTAAACGACAAGGATCAGCACGTGGAGACTGAAATGGATCTAGAAGCCAATGCGGATGCGCTGGCAACTGAACGAACACACTTTTTACATAACAGCAATAACGACAACACAAGTGCGCGAATCAGTGGTGGTGTCGGTGGCGGCAGGCAACAACACTACGAACGTTTATCGACAACTTCAAAGCTACCCTATCCCAACAACTACAGCGACAATAGTTTTGATGGCGGCGGTAGTGGGGATGCTCGTTTAACCGCGCTCGGTGGTAATTGTAAAGCCACATTAAGTACAAACCCCAGGAGCAATGCAGCGCATGCGCAAACGGTTGATATTTAAGTACATTTATAAATGGGGCAATTCCTAAAAGTTGTGCACCCATTGCTGCTAAAGCATTAAGGGTGCATAGTAGCGAGTTTGGCGCAGGAGCAGCAAGTGTGTTTACAGCCAGTGATGAGTACACCAAATAAGACTGTAGTCCATTTATACAGACAGCGCGTATATACATATATAAAAAAAAAAAAAATGTCTACCAAAGTATCACATTGATACTACTGTATATTTATATACATATGTACATACATTCATCCAGGAGTGCATGTATGAATTGCAGAGAACCGATAAAAAAAGTGTCATAAAAATAGCGCCGCATTATATTGCGTTTAATAATAGTACAAATTTCTATGAAAAGTGAACAGTGACTGCTGCTTGATTCACTTCAATCGCAAAGTGCGACGGCAATGCTCCAGCCTAGAATTTGAGTTGTCGGCTAAACATGTACATCTAGGTGTGCAATTTACTAACAAATCTTACCAGTGTAAAACCAGGTGAGGAAAAGTTCTATACAGGCAGGGCTTAGTCGTGCCACTACAACGACCACAACAACAGCAGCATGCTCACTACATCACTATTAAATTCTAAGCACACTTCATTTGTTTTTGTTTATTTTTTCTTTATTTTACTTCTATGCTATTCTAATTGTATACGTAGATACATACATACATATTTTAAAAATATAATTAAGTTACAGCTAGAAACTGCATTGTGATATTATTTATTACGCTAATTTAAATAATTATTTAAATAAATTAATATGTATGACTATGACATCTGTCGAATGCGGCTATAGAAATTGAATTTTGCTATATTGTATAAAACGCTTGACGCTAATTTATATATGGAAAGAGTGTCGCGTATTTATGTATTTGTTAAGATTATTATACATACGTATGTAGACTATGTATTTTTTGTAAAGATACACATTTAAATACATACTTACATACAGCCACGTACATATATATGTATGTAGTATGTAGATTTCTAACTTAAGTTGAAAGTTATGCCAAACCACCTAATTAATTGCACGTATTGTAAACATTGCTTTAAGTAAACATATTTTTAAGTAAAAAGACTCATATACTACATGAGTATACTATACAAATATTTGTATGTATGTAAATACAGTTTTAATTTATAAAAATTAACTTACGCATGCTCATATACATATGTTTCACGTTTTTTAATTAGCTCTGCAAAACACAAATATTTTTGAAATAGACAGAAATGAAATTTTTAAAAACACATGACCTAAGACACCAAAAAACGAATACACCAGATCTGCTTTTCACACGATTTGGCAAGGGGGTCATAAAACTTGCGCAAAAGAAAATGTGTTCAAAGAAATTCTCTTGTTTGTTCCGATTCGAAAAAAAACCATTCTAAAAAGGAAAATCGTACAAGATAAGACCTATTTTTAGTAGCCGAAAGTAATCATTTTAAATTGTTCTGGTAAGAAGAAGACTATTGGAAGACTATTTTTTCTGTCATATTTAATCGGTATAATTTACATCAAATTTTGTTCGACTAAACTTGCGATCTTGTGGCCGCTTTGAACCTTGCATGAAAAATATTTTAACTGAAAATAGTGGTTATTTGATCGAAAAGTAGAAATTATATTTTAGCGGTTAAATTATGATTTTTGTTATGAGTTCCAATATTGTAAAGATAACAAAATATTACAAATCGTTAAAACTATTGATGGCATTATATTTTTTTCATTTACTTTTTATAGTGTTGTGAAGAAATAGAAAAAAAATCAAATCAATTCAAACATTTAATCAATTCAGTTTCAGTTTTCATAAATTTTCTCAAATCGATTTGGATCCGAACTCATACAGCGTTAGTAGGGTGCATTAGAGCTACTTAATAATTGCAACTTTGTCGTTGTTGTTATAACTGCATATAAATTCCCCAAAGGGTTTTTGGGAAATGAGGCTAGAATGACAGTCCTTGCCCAGATATAAATCTGGGTCGTTACGTAGACGCCACTGTCATGGGAACGATTATTGATGTGCTGTTTCTGATGGTCAACTTCTGAAATGCTGTCGAAATTGCGCAGTAATATTTTTTTTTTATATTGCACTTTACTTTGTTCATCGAACGCAAAATGTAAGTAGTGTCTAAGGCCCAAATTTTTAGTAGAACGTGATGCTCTTTCATATAAATTAACCCTGGCTCATTTACTGCAGCTCAAATGCATCGGTAAAAAACGCCCTATCCCAGCTGCAGATTCAACAACGGCCTATCTCAACTCATTTTAAATGTATTTTCGTTAGAGATAAGGCGTTTTTGAACCGAATTCTGAGATAGGGCGTTCTTCAAACCAATTCTGAGATAGGGTGTTTTTCAATCAAATTCTGAAATAGCGCGTTCTTGAAAAGTTTTCTGAGATAGGGCGTTTTCCAACTAGCTGCCGAGATAAGTCGATCTTCCACTCAGCCATCGATATTTGGATTCAGCGACCCGAAGTTAGTTTGGAGTAAACTACTGGCTCTCCTGTCTATATTTTGCATTCTGACAAGTGAATTGCAAAGTTTTCGTAAAGTTTTGCGTATATTTGCATCGCTTTTTTTTTATTAAAATTTATCTGTTATTGACTTATGTTCGGACTTTAAAGCTTTATGGTAAGCTTTGTGGCAGATACCGTTATACGCGTGTTCATTCTTTAATATATACCATTTTAATATGTCGTCCCCCTTTTGTCCGAAACATTAATGTGTAAAAATTAAAATTTTGAGAAATCAAGTTTGATAGTTTTTTAAGAGACTAAACTCTACATTAAAGTGGCTTTCGTGTACGCATGGTATTCTGGGTTCTGGTCTAACATAGAACATCCAAAGGTTAATCAAGTCAACCCAATAACTCAAAATTGGTAAATATGCACATTCATGCTTCTGGCATAAGGGTGATGATATGTAAGTTTTAAACTTTATCTAAGATTTAGAAACATTTGACGAATATGCAGCATGACTACAAACTTATTTGTTAGATTTTTCTTGTATAATAATTTGCTGGTTTGAAGTTGTTACAAACTTCCCTCGAATTTTTGATAATTTGAATCCATACAATCCATGTTTGAAAAATTTGTTATATGTATGGTAGAAATTGCACAATGTCAGAAGAGACATTTTCAAGAATCAATGACATTTTGTAGCAACTTCAAATCATTATATTATTATACATACTAAATTTTGATCGGCAATAAAACTGCGTACCCAGTTCGTAAAAATATTCTAGAAATTCTGGCAAAAAGGTTCAAAATTTTGCTGAAAATTTGGCAAATTTTTCTAAATTTTAAACAAAGTTTGAAACTTATATTTAAATGGTTTATATATTATAGAATGAATTATATTTTCCTGAAAAATTAACGAATTTTTTATGAATAGTAATATCTAATTTGTACAAAAATTTGAACGGAAACTTTTAAGTGGGTGCATGTACTCCCTCAAAATTTTTTAGTATTTTTGCCGTAAAAAGGCTTTTAAATTTCGGGGGCAGTGTAAAACTGCAAGAAGGCCCTTCCAGGTGTGATAATATCAAAAAGTGCGCACATAATGTGAGTTAACTCGCCGCTGTCAAAGCGTTCCCTACATTGCGTTCCCATTGAGCCAAAAACTCGAGTTTATGGGCCATTTTGAAGTTTAACCTAAATGGTTAAAGTTAAATTTTTTTCTTTAAATATTAATATCTTCTGAACAACATAACCTATGAAAAAACTAATGACGTCAAAATAAAATAAATTAATTTGTCTTTCTGTGTATATAATTTATATACCCTTTTGATATTTTTAGTCCGGAAATACTAAAAAACACAAAAAATATAAATATATTTTTTAAATTACGTTTATATACAATTTGTTTTAAAACTGGTTAGTATATACGTCGCATAGAAGGTATTTAAATTATGCTGAAATTAGCATCAATAATTTTTTATTCGGTTACGTAGTTTCCGAGATATTAAACACATACGAAATAGAGAAGTTCAACTTTAACCTCTTTTATTGGTTTTGGTTTTTATTTGCACCAAATAGTTTTGGTATGGTTGAAATCAGCGTAAAAAGTTCTATCGATCCTCATTTCTTGGTTTTTTTTTTTATAACATAACGGTTGGTATTCTAAACTTATGTATGTAAGCGTTAAATCCCTTACGACGGGAAGAGGCTAAATGGAACAAGGAAAATTAAACAAAAAAATGTCAAATAAAAGGCTGAGTTTCTTAAACACCCCAATGTGAACACTTGACAGTTGTTCATAAATACAAAACGGTAAACTCAAGTTTATGGCTCAATAAGAACGTAATTTTAACGAAAATGTGCGAAGTGTTAATTGTTTTTTCCTCGCTTTTATTAGCTTGGGATGTAACTGTATAATAATGATGCGCCTAAAAGATGCAGCGATTTCCATTCTCAAGTTACGTTGCGAGTTTTTAGTTTTTTAAACTATAATTTTATTCTTTATAATTTCATTAGCAAATTAAACTGAAAAAATGACTAAAATTTTCAATCCAAGTAATTAATTAGCTAAGAGTTTATAAAAAAATTACATAAAGTGTAAAGAAACAACAGCGAAAAGTAATTATTTATGATATTGATAATTTGTATTATTTTGCAAACCCTCCGATAATTATATGCAGCTAACTACATACATACATACTTATATACTAGAAATATGCTTATTTATATATATATATATAAAAAAACCAAGTGCTTTGTCTTCAGCTGCCTTTTTTGTATAAATACACACGTAAATATAAATGTATTTTCATTAGCAGCCAAAGAAATTAAGCTTGACAAAAATGCAAAAAATATTGTAAAACATTATGCAAATGTACTGAACCGAAGAACTAAAAACAGTTTTTAAAGTATATGTACTCACTTGTATACACTTGTAGCCCGCAAACCCCACCATCACTTTTTTTAACTGAGATAGGATTTTGTAAATTAATAAAAAAAAATATTTTTTTTTTTCAGCTTTAAACTTTGTACAAACGTAGTAAAACGCATCAAAATTTTAAACTTTTTAATCAAAATTTATACGAAAATTTCCGGTATGCAGTTTAATAGCCATTTAATTTTAGTATAAAAATGTGCAAGTTTGAAGTGCTCCTAAACTCTTTGGGGAATTCACATATTTGTGCGTCCGTAACCATAGTTGACCGCGAAAATAAGTTAACTTGTCTTTCTTCGCCGTCAACTATGTTAAGGGTCTTTCTTCACTGAAGTTGTTTTATGCGTATTTTTTCGCGGTCAACTTTTCGGCTCGCGCCTTATTCGTGTGTAGTGACGATGATATATTAAACTGCATTTCCAAAATATTCGTAAACATTTTTGTTAAACAGTTTGAAATTTTGATGAATTGCTTTAAAGTTTTTTTTACAAAGTTTGAGACTTCTATTTATATAGTTTTTGATACAGTGTGACCTACATCGCACGTTTACTAATATAGAGATGTAACTCAAAATTTACGTTTTTGAAGATTTCATTAGACATTTAATAAGCTTGATAAGTAGAACATGTTCAGCCAAACAGGTGGCTATACTTTTCAAACATCGCAAAGATATGGGTCTTTTCAACTGTAATTTTGTATGCCAACTGTACGAATTGATCAAACTTTGATTGCGTTTTCCTACAAAATTGAAATTTTGAAATACTTCTGTATATTATTAAACGTGTGAAATGTATTACACTTTTTTGTTTATTCGATATTTTTTTTAAGTGGTGGTACGGTTTGCGTGGCCCCTAGTGTACATACATACATATGCATATATAAATGCATCGATACAAGTATTCTAAAAATGGACCACATATTTATATAAAATTCAGTCTTTGTCTGCCTTACTTTGATGAAGCCAGCTATGCACAGGAAAAAATCTAAATTCAGTTAAGTCAGCGAGTCTATAGAGGCAATTTTCCTGAAGTGACTGCCAGGTCTAAGCTGATGAGTAAAAATATGCGCTATTTGATGCATAAATTTGTATTGTAAGGCTTCAAAGTGTTCATCAAATAAATTTTTATAAAAAAACAAAACAATTTTAGAACTATAAAAATTCAACAATTTTGGCCTCATAAAATCCGTCTACAAGATAATCCAATAGTGACTAACGCAAAGTGCATTATTTATGTAGTTTAACTTTACAGATGTGCATAGTATGTATGCTAATGTACTTGTAT